TTTTTTTTTTTGAAAGAGTACTTTTGCTATGAAACATTAGATAGGCTGATTAAGGTTTTTAAATATTGTAAAGTGATGGAAAACTATTGTAAGGTACAATTTCATTTTCCCATGAATGTTTATGTGTAGGCCTATGCCATGCGACTTTTCTTTTCTTTTCTTTTTTTTTTTTTTTTTTTTTTTCTGTACTGTTTTTATGTCACAGATTAAGCGATCTTCATAAAAAAAGATACTTCAAAATGTCTGTGTAGGCCTATAAAACAAAAACCAGAACTATTTTCTTGGCGACAATGACCATTTTTCTAATAAATCTTACTAGTAGGCCTACTCTCACTATACTTCTGAATTGAACATTCCTCCAAATAAGATGAATGAACGTAAAAAAAATCGCAATTTCATTTCTTTTTAAAGATACAGAGCTTTTTACAGGAATAAATGCATGTCATTTTAGAAAACAAATTGGCAACGTTCTGGAATAAAACTCAAACTAGCGGCCTAACATCACTAAGAATGCTTTTTTATATATCTTTACCCAGGTCAAACAGTTTCCGATTCTCATTCACGAAACAGCAGAAACGGCACACACTGCATGCATGCAACTTTTTACAGATTGTCACATTCCTTGGTTTGCTGAATATTATAATAATTTATTCAGCTTGTTATGTTTTGTAGTTCTTTCAAATTCTGGATTGATTTGGCTTCAATGCATTATTTGAAAAAACTCTTTATCATGTAACTGTATAAATGTTCAGGTTGACTTTCTTCAAGCATGAGGCTTTAGAGTCAAACTGAAAAGCCTCTTTAGCAAATAGCAATGAAAAACATTCCAAAATACACATCGGTGTTTACTCGGTAATTTAACAGAAGAAAGCCCCATATCAGGCATACATTAGGACAGAGAGGCAAGCTCACAAAACATTGAATGGTTTTTATTTGATTTTCAAACTGTGTATTCAAAGCTAATGGAGCAAACGATAAAGCTGCTTCATTTGGGCCGATTGGACTTGTTTCTACAATTCTTCGCATGTTTATCCTTAGTTGGGTCTCAAGTACCAGCTTGGTGACATCAGCAGTCCACGCATGGCAGCGAACGAAACATATATTCTGCAACAATTCTGATTTGTCTCAGTTTCTCTTACACAGACGAAAGCCAACAAAATGGTTGCAACAGCTTCTCCTATGACGGTAAGTAAATGGATAACTATTCGGCCTTAAGTTTATCATTATGTGTACACAATTGAATTATAAAATTTGGGTGTTTACGTTAGGGTCAATCCCCAGCAACCGGGACAATGGCGACCCCAATGCTACAGTATGGGGCTCAAATTAAAGAATAATAGACGAAATAAAAGGATTTCATGACCGGGCGAACTCAACTATTCTAGTAGAATTGTACTGCCTTAAATTATTCTTGTTGAGAGTTTAACGAAACTATTTCTTAACATAAATCGATCTGTGGGGTGCTTTGAAATGAGGTAGGTATTCTACTTTAACTTAACATAGATAACTCTGTTAAATTGCTATCGACTCTTCACAACTGACTATTACATGTAGGTAGTACAGAAGAGTAAATCAAATTGGGTTCCAGTTTAGTTCAGAAAAAAATGATTACATCATCTGCAAAGAAAACAAAAGTGGGCACAGTTGTGATTTTTTTACTCTTTCCTGCATGACTGTTACTTTATTTCTCTTTGTAATTTGCAAGTTTTAAGATAATTTCATCGGTTGGTCCATGTTTTCAAAAGAAGAAAGAATCCGCCTTGACATATTGCCGTAAATTTGACAAGGCGTTCACCAATAGAGGCAATTTATCTATAAAACACTTGAACAAAAATTCATTTTGGAGATAATCAAATCCCAAAGTAAAGTGCCTTAAACCTTGGAGCGCTGACGATAAGAAGAAGGAAAAGGGGTAGTAGCAAAAAGGATGCCTGGTGTTACTAAAACCACAGTAGAGAGTTAAACATTCTGTGTGGGAGGTAGGGGTAGGAACAGGAACGCAGTGTGTTTTGTTTATCACGGGATGTAGTGAAAAGCTCCGTAAGTTCATCTTTTAATTATATTGGGGAGGCTTAAATTGCAAAGTTTGATATACAGCATTGGTTTTAAAAAACTTAAAAACTGCACCATCACCGACATATTACCCATGTCAGATGAAGTCATATTAAACAGACACCCAGGCAATAAGTTATCTTAGTATTTAGCACCGACTTATATCACCAGTGTCATCTTTTTTGCTCGGGTTCATAGGTCTGTGAAGTTTTGCGTGACATTTATTTCCACAGAAATAGTTTTGTCTAAACTAGGACATATGAAACAATTCCAATTTGTTGAAAGTCAAAGGTGCAATGTGTACGCAGCCTATAAGTTCTTTTTATGGACTTAAATATTTAATGCTACACTAATCGCCCCATGGAGGGTCGTTACCAGCTAAGTCTGTGTATTATCAGCTGTAATGGTTTTGACTTACGCAACGCTGAGGGGGTATTCATTCTTTTTTGTTGAATAATTTCAACGAGGGAGATCAAATTCAGACCCACTGTTTGCATCAGAATAATATACCTTTTACAGCTGCACGGAAAAGTCATTAGCATTGTACATAAACTGACTTGTTGCTCCTTTTGGCAGTACTTTACAAAATCTGAAGTAAATATTTAACTTTTCACTTTAAATCGAGATGACATGAAAAAAGGAGGCCCATTTGTTACGTGATTCCTTAGCTACATATCGTTATATGGCATATCATATCAGCTCTTCTTAGACCAGTATGTAATAAATATTTAAAGGTAGTACATATTTGTCTATGCACGAAAATAGTTGATTTAACAAATAAAATCTGTTTGCCATTATGGTTAATACAAGACAAAGTAGACGAACATTGCGAGAACAAAAATTGGGCATACATTTTGTTGCATTATATTGTATTTTCATTTCCACTTATACGTAAAATTTTACTTCGCCTTTAATTTTCAAAATCGAAAAGGCTTTAGTTTGTCACCGTACCAAAATGCTGGCGTTTCATGTTGATTTTTATTCTCAGTGTCATACACATTAGAGTGGTAGTTATGATACGTGTATCAGTTTACTAAATTATTAGATAATGGTCCCTTTTATCGGACGGACCATTTAAAGAAACATAAAACAGTGAATGAACGGAGGTGTTTTTCAATGCATAAGTTACTTGTCTGCGTCTTATATCACAGCTGAAATATATCGGACAGGTAATTGTGTTTTCATGAAATGGAAATCTTAGATAAATATTTGTTAACAAAATGTAGCATTGCACGCAAAAAAAAAGAAGCCTAGCGTTGGCAGGTGTTTTAGGTTAAGTTTGCTGTGTGAAATGATTGATGGAAACCCACCTGAAAAAAATGGACAAAAATGTCAAAGGGCTAGGTCCTATTTAGTGTTGACTAACGGTAAAAAAAAATGAATGCTTAGTTATGATTAAGTTATGATAGCCCTGCGATACAGTGGGTCTAACAATCTAATCGACATAATAGCTACCGGGACATTATAATCGAAATGAAAAGCTTTATTTAGCCATTCTATTTGCTTGCCCAGCGAAAGAAAATATCTACTCGCGAAAGAGCAACACGAAGCGTATGAGGTTAAGAGCCCTAATCAATTGTCTGAATAAACGATTGCGCTCGGATCAATACAACCCAGCCTCGGCTCTCCTTAGATACAGACTTTCTGCTTGATAAACCGAAGAAACAGCTCGATACAGCTGTTTATTAATCATTTCCACAAGAGTAGTTGGCAAGTGTCAGAAGTATGTCCTTACGAAAAGAGTTTATCATATCTCAGTTATCTCCTAATGGAGACCATATACGCAGAGTGCTACCTGAAAAGCTTGTTAAGGTGAGACAAGATATGATAACTGTTGAGAAGGTGAAACTTGGGGGGTTAGTAAAACAGTTTAAGGAGGAGAGATCCAGAGATAAATACGAGATAGAGATGTTTAGGGAGACTTGAACGATATGTGGTATCTAAAGACTCTTTAGGTCCAGAAATAACTTAATACATTATCTACGGCAAATACTTTATTTTTCATATTTTTTTATCGGTTGCCAATACAGAGTGCCTATTTGTGTTCATCGTCGATTCGACAGATTTAGAAAGTGGCTATTAACTTACGAGGCTCTAACGTTTTGCACCAGAAATCTCCTTTATTTGTGCCTTTCTACTGGTATCTTCTTCAAACATAATTATCATTGTAAAAGTGCGATAGATCAGATTTGTTGAATTTTCAAGTAGATAAGTATTCCAGAAATGCAAACAAACTCGTTAACTGGGCAGAAAAAAAGGCCCAGAACTTAACAATATCATATTTTCAATTTTTTTCACAATAATTTCACAAAATTCCAGTTGCATAAAACTTTTGATGAAATAACCATGCGAAATATTATGCAAGAATGCAAGTGTAAATTTCCAATGTCAAAGTGCTTTGGAGTCTTCTGGATTGTTGCCTATTTCAGACTTTCGTACATAAGATCATTTGATTGTCTCTATGACACTGTCCTCTATCTAAAGCTACCGTCTACCAGGGCCCCATATTATATTGTGGACTTTTTCTCTTAGAGTGCACAGAATTACGACGGTACTGTCAATTAAACCAGAGATATATCTGTGAATATCTTGTGAAAACTAATCTGTGGTCCCGGTAGAGGGTCCGACAGAAAAAGTTTTAGTGACTGATGTGTAGGGGTCTCACAAAGGGTTAACAAAATTATTATTTTTAAGAAGTCTGAAAGATAAATTCCTAGGAGATGTGAAGGCATGTGTTATGATAGAAATAGAGGCTGAGACCAGTTTGCTAGTGTGTAGAGGAAAAATTAGCCAGTAATCAATCGACTTTTCTAAGAAATTACAGTTGGAACTTCAAAACGCTTCCTTCTTGCGCGGCGTTTGTGGACTGCTATTTATAAATTAATCACGACAGTGATGTTAGTAAAGATATAGGATCAAACTGCTATTCGCCAGAGGATATATGGTGACAAATATCGGAGTGAAATGGCATTGAATAATCATAGATAATTGATGAGTTTTAATAACGTAATTGTGTTTTATTCACCCAACATAATGGTACTTGTAGATAAAAGCGCATTCTCTTTGGCCATTAAAACATGAATTTATATAACGATGATGAAAAGCTTGTTACTTTTGGATACATCCGCTGTTTTTGCTAAAAAAGAACATTATGATAGGTGAATTTAACTGGAAGTGGACATCAAGATCGATACATTTATTCATTATTAAAGTCAAAAGTTCGATACAATTTTTTATCCATTTGATATACACTGAGATAAGGTGTATTTTCTCTGTTGTTTCAGATGATTTATGGCCGGCGGGCGACGCCGTGCGGGACGGACCCGAGCCCAAGCAAGGGAGTTGCTGACTCTACGGCAGAGAAGTAATCTAATCCAAGCGCCCGCTTCGTCTCCCGAACTCTACCGCGGACCTGTCGTAAATTTCGACAATTTTCGCAGAAATATCGAAAGATCTATAATGGAAGATCATCAGAAATACCAAGGTGGGCTCACAGCCCGAGACTTGTATATCAAAAGTAACCCAGGTCTTCTGGGGGATGCCGATTACACGAATCCCAGACAATGGTACAATTCTAACTCAAAACAGAAATTGATTTCATCGTTTTTGAATAACTATAAAAGAACAGGGATTCATCGTGTAGATAATCCGTCCAACCTAGGCGCTGTATATGTGACGTTGCCTACGTTAGCGAGAAAGCAGAGGCGGGGGTCAAAAGCCACCGTTTATGTGTCAGAGTCACTCTCAAAACACGCAGGTCTTCCAAAACTGCAGATGGCCCACAGTGATCACAGCAGAGGTGGACATAACGGGACAATGAATAGAAATATAGAAGGGCTAGATGAAAGGCAAGAGCCTTCGGCCTTTTTGACTTCCCTGCCGCCCATACACAAAAGTAACATGGTGAGACCACGCGCTGCACCAGAGACAATCGATAAGGAACCAAGAACTATTTTACCTGAGATTCCACGTATCGAGGTTGAAAGTGACCCTAATAACCGTGTTTATCGGGACTCCGTGGAGAATGAGAATAGGCACATCGACCAGAAGCAAAATATACACTCGAATCTTCATAAACACGCTCATAGTCAAGCTCATTTATCAAAGGCTCAATTTCATATCAGGGGTGATGATAAAAACAGTGCGATGCATGGCAGCAATGCTTCTTTAAGCATGGCGCATGAAAGACCTGCCCTTCCTAACATCAAACCGACGCAAGAGCTGGCGGAAAAGTATCAAAGTCTGAGGGAACAGAAAAGTCTTGAGAAGACATTTGAAATCGACCGCGATGAGTACAGGCTCAGACAGAAATCAAATCTAAATCTAAAAATGAAGAAATATCAAATGAACGAACAGCAGACTAGAGCTCATAGAGATATTCATAAAAACGCTAGTCCGCTGGACTTATCAAATGTAAAATCGAAAGTATCATCAATAGTCCAATCGACCGCGTCAACCCCGAGAAGACTGTCACGCTCAGATTTTGAAGAAAAAAATCGCCACGAAACAGAAACCAAGGAAAAAACTGACTTAACAATAGCAGCTCATCGATGTTCACCAAGCAATAAATACGACGTAAAAGGAGATAACCAAAACAGCAGTGGCAGCAAATCGAACCGCAGCGAAAAAGAAGAAAATCACCACTATGTGTATCACAGTAAAACTTCAGCTGATGGTTTCACTAAGAATAAAGGGCACAGGGAGAACACGAAGGCTAAAGTTGTTGTGTTAGCTTTGGAAAGGGATAATGCCGCTGCAAAGGGCGTCAATAGCACGGCAGACATAACTATTCCATACAAGCTAAAGTTTGACAACTCAAATGCTGAGAATACCAAAAATATTCAAAACGATGAACGGGCAGACAGCATGACCAACACTGCTCAAGAATCGGCCTCGCCGACGAAGCGGTTTGTTCAGTTCAGCAATAATACGCCTTCTGCCGGTGCTCCGTCGCCTACAAAAAGTATCAAGAAACCCAAATCTGTTCTGAGAAAATTCACAAAACTTGAAGTGTTCTCCGACGGCAAAAGAACTGTAGTTGATGACTCAGAGCGATTTTCTGAGGTAACAGAAGAGACCCATCGAATGGGCACGGCGGCGTCTCGAGTGCCTATTGGAACACCATTATATAGACTTGATACGAGAAACGTGGCATATAGAAGCATAGCCAGCCAGAGACAAGAGGAAGTGATGGAGGAAGAAGGGGGACCCCGGGAACTTCATTTGTCAAAGGGTACAAATAACGGACAACATTTTGCTATGTTTGAGGGACCCTACGACGGGACTCCCCGAGTGTCTAACGAAACAAATCACAACATCACCAAAGCTAACTCCGTAGAGTTCACTGACACTGATAGTAACGCACAAAGCAAACAGAGCAAAGAAGCGGATGACACAGTTGCAATCCAAGGACAATCACAGGTCTTCTCAGAAAATGGACAGCAGTTGTCCGGGAACTACGAAAACATGGATTTGAATGACAGTCTCAATAGCGTAGACGAAAATTACACTGCTCAATTTAATGTTAAGGTGCAATTTACAACCAACCAAACTGACATGGCTCCAGTAGACTCGATGCAATTATCAAACCAAGAAGATATGGAGCTTAAAGAAAATATTGAAAAAGAAGACGAAACTGATATTGCTCAAACAGATGCGAATATCACGGGGAACGGTGAACAGAATGATAGCCCTGTTGATGTTACAAATGAACACATTTGAATGTGAATTGATGGCATCCACAGCGTCCGAATGGGATTCTAGGACATGTTTTGAAATATACAAAAAGTTATAATCTGTGATTTACCAGTGCACAATTTATTTCACTTTTGATACCGATATTTCATGCAGTAGTTAGTTTTTCACTGCTATTAATATTTATATGTTGAGTAAGATAAATTACCATGTTACGTTTTCTGTCCAAGACAAAGATATTTTAGAAGAGAAATACCATTGCGAAAAATATATTAATATAATAAAGGACTTGCCGAAAAATTCTGTAAATCTTGACCTACAGCTGCTCTCTGTAATCGAGGCTTTCAAGTTCAGTTTCAGAAGAGTAATTTTTTAAAATATCAAGTGCAAAAAAATCTTGGTCAAAATTTACGTTTATTTTGTCCCCAAGGACGGAAAGGAGTGAACGGCACACTGGTTTATGTAACGATTTCCCTTCGATGGGATAACTCTTACGTTTTAAACGTCATCTTTAACTTAAACACAGCTACAATTATTTGCTATTTGCTATTAACGGCCACAACATCACTCCGTATTTAATATTTTACAAAGTATAATTATGGCGCAAAAATTAAAGCGGATAAATGGAGATGTTTTTTTATGCTTCACTGTAATTGATCAATGAATAAACCGTTGAATTTAGTAAAAACCATCTAAAGCATGAGACAAGGGACAGACGGGAACCCGCTGTATACCGTACACTGCATGCTATAAGACGCACAATCAGAGGAGCTAACGTGCCACATTTTATCATTGCGATAGTTGATCCTGAGGCATAAGCATTCAACGCAATGTCATCACAATCTCTTTCAATGGTATGCCTCTGCCAGGAAGTTTATCATTATGTATGGGTCTTTTTTTCTTTTCTTTCTTCCTTTTTTCTTTTCTTTTCTTCTTTTAACAAAACTTAGTTAATGTTGCTGAATTATAACACCACCATAAAGTGTACGAACAGATCCAGTAAATTTAAAATGGTGAGGTGTGAAAAAATTATTGAACCACAATCAATCTTAAATCTAAGAAAGGAGCACGTGGAAACAGGATATTAACCTTGATGTTTTTTCCGTCTTTATGAGGCCCCTAATATTTTATCGGAAAGGTCTTGCAAGGGGTGAATCCTGAGATTTGCTTTCCTTAAATTTCAGCGATGGAAGAAGAATAGACCAAAGGGAACATGATGAAATAAACATATATTATTTACCCTTCGCTGTGTATATGAATCTTTGAATATCCATTAAGGGTATTATTATCAAAAAAAAAAAAAAAAAAAAAAAAAACCTATCTAAAATTCTTCGGTTAGTTGGGCGGGGGGCAAAACACGTTAACAAAAACTTGAAAATAAAACTTTAGTATTTGTTCTTTCAGTTGTGCAAAGCTATACAATGCTTTGATTACATTAGGGATAACCACTGAGTAGGGGAGCTAATCCAGCACTTTGCAAATTATTGAGCAAAGAGTCACATTCAGAAAATAAAACTTATCATATTCAATTTAGCTGAGTGCGAGTTTGCTTTCGTGTATGAGTGCATGCGCACATGTTTTGTGCACTTATTTGTGCTTTCTTTAGCCCACCCACACATGAACAAGGGTTGAAGGTTCCGAAGATGTTTTTATTATTTATTTATTATTTTTTTTTTTTTTTGGGGGGGGGTTACAAGTAACTAGATAGTATAATAGCGTCGTGAAAGGTGTCTGCCAAAAAGTTCACAGCTATTACTTAACTGAACATATGATCTTGATAAATTATACTCTCCGATTTCAGTAATAATGGTGATTGTGAATCATTTGAAGCACTATTTTAGCAGTGGGGTGCACACCTATAACCTCGTCTCCAGACACAAACCGATGTACTACTGAAGTTCATGGTCAACAATGAATGTAAGTTAGAGTGAGAATCCTGGAATAGAGTTTGTGACGGGGACGTGAACATCCATCAATATGCTAGTGATCATTGTATCGGTCTTATACATATCTATTTTACCCCACAGTTTTGAATTCTTGTATCCCATTTTGTCCAGTATATTAATTATATTTTGTTCTTTATTTATTTGTTTTATTATTGTTTGCATTATTTGCAAGGAGGGCAATCACTCTGAAATTCACTTATACAGAATTACAGTTTCAAACAGCAAAATGTCATTTTTGTATAGAATTCATGCATAACGAATTACTCTCATACCTCTCGAAGATCACCAGAGCGCGTCTGGACCCAGTGAATAACAGTGAGTCTTTCAAGATTAAGTGCCTTGCTTTAATTCAATGCAGCAATATGTTTGTTTGGCTACGGATTTGCGGTGGATGTCCCGCAGGTGTAAACATATGATGTGATTTTCATCATTGTGATTTGAATCAATAAGTCGCGACGAGTATGTTTACAAAAAGTGAATTTTGTTCTTTATTATCCAGTCATGTTTGTTCAAAACAAATATTTTTGCCAGCAGTTAGAATGTATTTCTGCTCAACAAGACTCAAATAAACATAAGAAAGATCCTGATTGATCAAGAGATATATGGATAGTTTACGAAAGGTTACAAATGCAATAAAATAAAACAGATTGTGATTCATGGAATTCATGTAAAATTCTTTTGAAATTGATGATTTACATAATTGATTGAGTGAAAACTGTTATGGAAAACGACAGATGAACAATTTACCACTAAGTGCAAATTTGATGAATTTTCCATGCTGAGAAAATTTATAAAGATCATTAACATTAAGAACGAGGCATGATGAAAACATTTGTATAAATTTAATACATACACGTATGCTTTAACTTAACTTTGATTCAGGCAATAAAAACACTTAACATTAAATCAGGATTTTCATGAAAACTTACATATGTACATAACTTGTGCGACAATGAACTTTGCGCAAAATTATGAGTGTCATATCCGAATCGGAACTCAACTCAGATTTTATCACTGTACCTGATCCAGTTTTGAATTTAAAGTTTGATTATGGTACACTTCGACATTTCATGTTCACAACTACTGAATTTTACTCATAAAATCAATTACAGGGTAATTCTCTTCAGAGTTCTAATAAAAATGCAGATCTATTTTTTGATATGATTTAACAAAACACTTTGGCATATCAATAACTACTGACACACGGTAGCACGGAAATTGATTTTGCAAAACCGGATCTTCAACACCATTGCCTTTCGTCAACATTATAATAGACCTGAACATGATATAGCCATATCATCATGTGTTAGGATCGATTTGTGTTTTCAGGGTCTTTGAATGACGGTCAAATTTTTCATACACCATGTCGTTATTTGCTGTCTGATAGCGTCGAATGGTGCGTGACGAGCGAGACGCGTTTTCGTTGTAAAGATCGTCCTCCTTACTGTATATTTTTCCCTGCTCAGTTTTTGCAGCATTTTGTCCCTGAATGTCAGACAGTTTGAAACCTTTTCTGAAGAGGGGGGTTTTCGGCCCGTTTTTAGTGGTGCTGGGTCTTTGAAAAAGTCCCAAATTTCGTCGAATTGTAACTGGTGATGGTTCAGAATCAGAGATATCTGAATCTATTGCGCCGCTATCAGAGAAAGTTCTACTCCGAGACAACACCACTTGTCCTTTCAATGGCGGAAAAGATTTGGTTACGCTCGATGATTGTCTTGATAATGAAAAATCATCTTTGGCTTTTCCGAATGCATATTTTACCTTTCGTGTAAACGCAGGAGAGTTTTCTGCACTGCTGGAGCTACTGCTACTTGACCGGCTTCTGGTGATTTGTTGTTTAAAGAGAAGTCCCATTTTCGCTTCAGCATTGTGAATAAGTCGCTGGAAGCCATCGCTTGACAGATTTCTCTTTGGTTTACTGGTTTCCATAAGTTCAGTTAAATCCGTCATAGAGCGAGATCGACGCCTCATGGCAAATCTAGGATTACTCCGAATTTTCATTTCCTCGAATTCGTCTACAATATCATCATCAGAGCCTGCACGTGTTGTTTCTTTTTTAGTAGCTGTTTCTGGCCGCAGATTTCTTGTCAGTTGTGGCGACGGTTTGTGGGGTTTGAAGTTGGTAGGGTTAGAGTAAGTCCTCACAAGCTGTTTCACCGGTTTGTTGACGTCTGGCAGGTCGCTGTCACCAGTCTTATCTCGTCGTCCACCGAAAGCTGAACCAACTGATTCCACCCGGGGTCTCGTATGTTGAGATCCACTTTCGCTATCTGCATAGTTATTGTCAATTTTGATTACTGGTATTTTGTCATTTTTCCTCTCATGTACACCTGATGTGGTCGGAGATTCTGATCTCGTCGGAGAACCTGTCCCTCTCGACCGTGACCCATCCAAAGACTTTTTGTCCTGTGCATGCCGCATTAAGTGGGATCTGAGAGATGTACGGCGTTGGTTCAAACTCCGCATTTCTGCTCGAAATTCATAGTCAATAGATTCTTTCTCCTTTTTCAGCTGAAATTCCAATTTCATGTTTTTAACGACAGCGAATGAACGCCCCCCGTTCAACATTCCCTGTTTTGCTTCTGCCATGTCTTTCACCATATCCTTGAGAAAAATGCTTAACTGCGTTTTGTTTTATTCAGTTGGTTCTTTGAAATGGGTGGATTAGTTTTCCTTTTGAATAATCCTTAAAAAAGTTAATACACAGTCAATTTGTGTTTTATGCTATTATGTGCACAACTTATTTGTGTCTCGTTGTGCTGTTCATCTCTTTATCTTCACTGTTCTAATGCGGAATCAGTCCTCGTCCATCTAAAGCATTTTCCTGTCACCTCGTCGAGCTACTTCACAATAGCAAACACAAACTAATAAATCACTTGCAATTGGCATCTTTGGGTTTGGTAATCTTGTCAATGACATTTTCAGTCGTGGTGATATAACTCATCTTGCTTAGACCTGTATCATTCCCTGTGGTGTTTAAGTCACTGAATGTAGATTGTGAGAGTCAGCGTCAGAGTTACAGCGTGCAATGCCAACTTTTGTGTAAGTACGGTTTTTATATTGACCTATTTTCATTCTTATAACCGAATTAATCCGCCGAGGTTTACACAGTTGAACACAGGTGTCTTTATCTCACCGTCCATACAACTTGGTACCGTGTTGATTACTTGTAACCATATCGTAGCCGATACGATTGTTTTACAAGTGACCCGAGGATTAAAGCCACAAAAGATTGACGCAGCATCCCTGGTCCTCGTGAGACACTGAAAACATCTATCTCATGATTTATTTAACGTTCTACGTCATTTACAAGTTTACATTCGGCCTGCAACGTCAGCTTAAACGTCATCAGCCCCTCATTCATGCTGAACTTTACTCTTTTTGCAGATCTACTTCTAAAAGCTTTGGCGACCATATCTTTTCTTCTGATAATCCGGTTCGCAGTAGTAGTGATTATCACGATTTGATTGTGGCGTTTTCAAGTGCTCTTTTTGCATATTTGTTTAAAGTAAATAAGCGAGCAAAGAATTTTAATCTTCGCATAATCTTGGCAAAGTTAAAGGCAGAATGGGCTGTGATAGGAGGATAAAAGCCTCAGTCAACCTTATCTTTAATGACTAGAAAGGTTCCTTAACATTTTTGTTTTACTTTGATTTACTATGTTTCCGTCTCTTTCGGATGCAATTAACAATTTTTGCTAAGCGTGATCGTTAATTAATATCTCCTGTGTCGCCGTTTTTGAAATGATTAATTTCATTACATGGGGTTATATGATTTCATTCATTGGATTAACATTTCATTGGATTAACATTTTCGAAATGATACTATTTCCGACTAATTAGGATAAAGCTAGATTCACCAAAGACGTTTCATGGTGCCTAATTCAAAGTGAAAATGATTGTATATATTAGTTATTAGGTAAGACGAGATGAAACATCCTTAAAATAGCACCACCAGTCATTTCTGTCATGGGGTTTTATGTTATGTTAGATAAAACTTGTGATTTAAAAAGACCGAATAGTGGGCTACAGCTTAATACATCTTGCAGTAGTCTTCAGCTGTATTCTGATGCTAAGAACATATTAGGAAGAACTACAAGACCTTTTTGGGGATGTTTTAATATCTATGTGTGCCTATCCCAACTTTGATACCCCTGAAATATAAGAAACAACTTCAAAATATGATATTGTAAAACTCCATCTAGTTGTTCAGTACATCGGGCAATTGCGACTGAGGACAACCAATAAGAGAATCAAAACTGGATTGCGTCAACACCGAATTGTACCTGTAGCTCAACTAACGCAATTGCAACACTGGGAGTAAATGTAATTCAGAAAGATGCGGTAAATCTCGACACATACGTTTTTGTTAGAAGAATGATGAGAAACTACAGGTTTAAAAAGAGGCTATTGCGATTTAGCGGGTGCATAGCTGTAAAAATAAACGTTCTCTAATTGTGCCACAACAATGTGACATAGGATGAATCTAATAAGTTTAATGATTTTTTTATTACTTACAAATTCGTTTTTTTTTTCAGTACTCCTTGTAATCAGAAAGTTTTTTTTTTAAACTAGAAATAGCACCGTACTGTCAAAATAAGAAATTTAGTCTTATCTTTGACAAATGATTTGAAACTATGTGTTAGGAATTCAGTTTTTTTTTCAGATACTGTTATGTAGTTTTGGCCAAGTTAAGTCAGGTGTACGACATTTAAATTGGTTGTTTATTTTTATTTTTACTTGGAAAGAGGTATTTGCTTATTCGGTATGCTCCTTGCACCTTTGAGATATTTATACATCTTGCCAACATACTCCGTGAAATGTGTTTAAAACAAAGGGTTTTCTTCCACCAGTGTTATTCTACCTGTGGTCAATATATGCCCACTCAGTAATCAGAACATAGTCTTAATTATGTGCCCAAGACTGTATCTGAATTCCAGTGTTTGTTGCCTCAATTGTTATAGCGCACACCGCGTACATTTACGTACCATTGTTTCAAAGTTTCTTTTATCATAAACTATGTAAGATATAACTTATGTAAGAAACGTTTCATTGTCAATGTGAAACCTCTTCAACAACCAATTCAAGTACAGTGCACTTGTACAAGTCAATAAAAAAATAAAAAGAAGTCAATTGAACTAATTTCTAACGTAAACCTGCTGATGTCTTAATCACCACGAATGCTGAACAGTTTTCTACTATTCATCTGCATTAACCCTGCCACTTCCTTCTTCCAGAGTTAAACAAGCTTTCGTGCACATATAACAAAGAATCGATGACACTTAATCAAATATCTACAATAACCCTTGAGAACTTTAGGATTCGAGGATATTAAACTTCCATCGAGGTTTTTCTTTGTATAGGCACGAATCTCGCAGGTGTGAAACCTTGATGAATATTGTAGCAAGGTGATGGTTCTATTTGTGTTCAGCTGCGGACCACAAGTGCTGCTTGCGTCTATTCGGTGCTCGTTGGCATAGAGTGTGTACAGTCCATTTACACACGAGACGGAGACAGCAGCAGAAGGTAGATATTTCACCTCTTTGTATTACTTGCACCGTAAAAATGTCATAAAAATTCGAAGAAATTCACTGTATACATTAGTAAACAATTGCCTACCCCCAAAATACCCCATTGAGGAGAATTTGAACATATTTTAAACACTTTCTCGTGTAGTGGTATTTAAAGTCAATTCATGCCAAAGACCACAGTCAAAGGCGTTTTCGAAGTTTTGTATTTGGATCGGATCCAACATTGGTATCCCTCGCAATTATGAATCTCTATTTGAGATCTCAAATTCGGATGGTTTTTTTTTTCATTTATTTTTAACGTCAAATCTAGTGCACATGGTACATGTATATGTATATATGATTGAATGTATTATATTCTAACTGATAACAGAAAACAAAGTATTCTTTATTGCATAGAAGAATGATAAACGTTGATCAGATGTTACTAGTACGGGTAGAAATAAACCTTTCGTTGCCTCGGTCTATTCAAGCACTATCATAAGGCTTATGCTCGTTTTTAGGAATAATATTCCATTTCACAAGTCTAGTCTTATTTTCTTCTTGCATCAGTGGAAGCGATACGAGTCTTTTACTATGTATGCTATTAAATTTTTTGGACATATTTCGCATACTTGAAATCATTATAGAAAAACCTGTCCGCTGAAAATCTTCAAATCATAAATATTATTGTGATGAATAAAATGAAAGAGGACTTGGCAATGTTAGCATATGTTCCTTGAAGCCATTTCTACCCGCCCTGTACTTCAGTGAGCTGACGGCGACTTTCTGTTATCAAGCCTAGCAGCTGGAAAGACACCGCCAGTCCTGTGTATTTCAGGTTGGGTCTTCTCATAGCCTGGTTGTAAGTTTCCCACAAGCATTACTGTTTTTTTTTTTTTTTTTTTTTTTGCTCCCGTGACTTAGATGCAGATGTTTCACTATCTCTCTCTGCCGTAATTTTAATTGTTCGCCTCAGGTCTCACTATTTCACCCCAGAGACATAGTAGACTTCTAAATTTAACGAAGAAATTACACCAGTGAGCGGAAAGAAGCAGGCTTAATAGAATGTGATCCACTGATATGTGAGTTGGATCATATGTTACATGTGTGCATCAAAGCTAGGTTACAAACTTCGGCGAATTGTTACACTTGGTGTGGCAACTTTACCTGACTCAGACATGTGGGATCTGAGTGAATTATTAGCGAAGGCGACAGTAGCAGACTGAACGTCGATAATGTAAGATCGAGAAACCCGCGAAGACCCATTAGTGTGATCATTAACGACAGATTAGATCAGCTCACCAGGAAGAGGGCCCTTAGTGTACAAAATGGCCAATTTTCACCCTTTTTAAACTGAGCTTCAAGGTGTAATATAATGACATGTGGTGGGAATTTTTCTAGGTGGAATTCTTCCATGATTCCGCAGGTGTTGACTCGAGGCTGCTGGGATAACCCGTGTAAAGGGTTCGTTATGTTTTATTTTTATAAACTTTCTTGGATCGATCTCTGCACGCCACGTGTCTAAGTTCGATTAATGGAATCGATAAGGCGAGCTGTTGATCACTGAGGTGCAGTTTCACCTTCTTGCTCCCCGTTAAGCATTATCTCATTGCTTGGAGAAAAAAGGATGGGCTGGTTCAAATGATAGGTCCATTAACACGTTATCCAGTTTCAACTAATACCCGCTAATATGCTATCGCCTTATTTATATGGTGTCGCGCAGTTGGTTTTACTGTCACAATATCTGCACAAACGCATTTTATATGGATTTTGTCATTTTTTCACTTAGAGGTCGCCAGACTGATGTCACCAAGACCTATCCAGTGTTAATTAAACGTTTTCTTCAATAATAATAATAATAATAATAATAATAATAATAATAATAATAATAATAATAAGTAAATGAATAAATAACATAAAAACAAATAAAGGTCACAAAATGACCAATAACTTCACGTTGACACAACCCAATTAAGATAAATTATAATGGTATGTAAATATCATTGGGGCTTGCAGAAACATTTTCTTTAGTTACCATAAATGATTGCCTTTCAGCTAGATAAACGTCATGCTAATTACAAGACCAGCAAGACTGCCGTAGATTCATTGGAAAATGTAAATTACTCATTAAACGAATGGAATTGTTCTTACGTTCGTTCACTGAAGGGTGATTTACCACGAAAAGTATATATGTATATATACAGCTGAGTGCCTTCGGCTCTCTCTCCGCAGCTGAGGCTAAATTTGTTTTATCTCCTTTTAATCTTACGTTAACCTCTCTTAAAGATTCTGATATCAACTCTGTACTATCAAGCCCAATGTATATGATAAGCATCTCTATAACAGATGGGGAGTTAGAAAATGGGGGCCCACCCTGTGCAACCCCGTGAATTACTGTGCTCATTTTCAGGCCCTAGCCTCACTGAAAATCACCTCTGTGGTACTGGACTAATCATTTACCATCTGTATTTAGACGAAAGTGGTTTGTTTCGTTAATTCCAACTGCTATAACAGATAGGAACATATTCAAAGTTTCAAATGTGCTTTAGGTTAGTCAGGTGAGGTTTTGTCTACTTTGTGGTAATTCTTTTGAAATGACCTATACCATCCAAGTGCCATCTCCTAGAAGATGAAAGAGCAAAAAATCATTGATCTAAAACACCACAACAGACAGACGGGTTTTCGAAGACTTCAATGCGTTTCCTGTTAATCCTCCGAAGCGTTTTCTCTGGAACCATTTCATGATAGTGATGCCTGTCGTTAACGTATTTAATGGGCCCTTCTAAGCGTATGCCCTTCAGAGTTATATGTTTCACCACTTGCAGGAGGCATTTCAGATCACCTTTTTATGTGATATCTTGAGAATCTTCAAATGTTTCAGCGACCTTAGAAACGAGGTTGAAATTCTATACACTCGTAGATTCACCTGATTTCAGTTCACGAGCATATATGAAAATATTTGAGACTGCTGGACATGTAAAACTGAACAGAAATGAGGATCACCTTCTCAGTGTGCCGCCCCATATTGGACATTGTCCTTTTAAGTACAAAATTGCATAAAATTTCCTTTTAACTTCCGATAGTGAACGACACCAAGTTAACTTAAAATAACTCAATCTGTCAAATGTTTAATTATCTCAGTTTATTATAAATGACAAATGTTTAAATGTTTTTTATGGCAATAACCTGCTCGTTAGGGCAACAAAATGTAATAGACATCATGGTTTATGGTGCAGTGCAGCACGTACTGTACAGACATGTAAAAGGCATAATATATACTTATATAAAATGCCTTTTACATGTCTGAAGGTTCAAAGAAACAAGTTACCCAATTCCTAATGTAATTTTTATGGGGGCAATTAAATTCAAGTATCATTGCAATGTGTTCCTATTTAAATGAATGCTTAGAAAAATTAATGTTTTGTTAATTGAAAAATGAATAAAGGCAAATGAAAATATGCACATTTGATACGTCCTGTTGGGAACATAAGGATGGCTTTTATCAGAATAACATAACATTACCCATCATTATTTACAACATCAAATTATATAATTGGCAATTGTCAGCTATAAGCAGCCAATAGAAAGTAGAATTGACAGGCAGTTGCAAAACAAACTTGACAGAAGTTTTTCCCTTTTATTTTATCTGCACTCGCATATGCCTTTTTATTATCTTAATGCCAAATAGCAATGTTTTTGAAGAATATACATATGCTAGCTAGCAATGGTTAGATATAATAACAGATTCTGGGAGCATTTTTTGTGCCATGGGTGCCTTGCCAGTTGGTTATTTTCCCACTCATGTTTTATTCATTATCCGATATACATGTAGTTCCCATTGTTTGACTATGCGTTTTCTTCCAGCTATTATACAAAGTAACAGTACCTACAGACATATGCCGCACACTACTGAATTACTAAATCTAATTGTCTACAAACGTTATTGCATTCAAACATCATACCACTTTTTTATTTTCACCTATACATGGCGAACACATGTTTCACGCATGTCCATTATATAAAAATACCAATTTGTCTGAAATTTTCTGCAGGGTATTTTTTGTCCTGATAAGATTCAAACCTTCAAATGGAAGAGCAAAACGGATATTCGAACAGATATTGATTAAATCGTAGGTTTAGCAGTTTGAGGCCCGGAGACAGATTACCTTTTCTAGATAAATATACGTATTCTTTTCATCATCTCTGACGTCTTTGATGTTTCTTCTTTCCTAGGACAACAACACGAAGAATATTCGTTTTTTGAAAAGACCATTTGTAAAACAGGGGGAGTGAAAAATAACTTTCGCCATTAACCCAAAAATATTTCACGTTAAAAGCTATATCTATTATAGCTGTATCTATGGTTTTAATCTATTTTTAAATTTATTTTTTCATACAATAGTGTTGTATAAATTGTAGTATGTTATTCAGTAACATGTAAGCAATCTCTTGGCTGCAATAAATGCTTATACCCTCCTCCTCATGGACCGCGCGAGACCTCGAATGTGGACCTGGGGCATCCTTCATTCTTCCACCAATGCAGTTCTTTTAAGAGTTAAAAGTCTAAGGTGGGAGGCTGTGGCTGGCGCTTATGAAATCGTCTGCCCAGTTCATCCCAGGCATGGTCAATGGGAGACATGTCTGGGCTAAACGCTGGACACAGAAGAGTCTGGATCTGCTCCTGCTGCAGCTACGCCTGTGCTATCCTGACAGTATGGGAAAGGGCATTGTCTTTCTGGAGCAAGCGTAGAGTTGGGTATTGATGCATGGATGGCAAAACAGCTGGACTTCATCTCTGTACCGCTGGCCAGTCAGATTTCCATCAATCACTGCAATCACCACGAGTTATGTTGTGGAAATTGGCACCTATGCACGCCCAAACCATAACACTGTGCCAATAGCAATGGGCAATGACACGACCTCTGTTCAGATCAGACAGCCATGGCATGATGTTAACATTCCACCAATCAAGGCAATCACCATGAGTTCCGTCTGGCAAATACCACTTTTGCCCGC